AAAGAGCTCCCTGCCCGGGGCAGGGTGGCAAAGGCACACGAAGGCCCATGGGGCGATGGCACCGGTCAGTGCCGCTGAGACGGCGGCGAGCTGCTCCCCACGGGAGCCCCCGGGCCCGGCACGGCAGGACCCATGCCACAGCCGGCACGTACAAGCAGGTGTCACCACCCCGTGGGACAGGGTTACTTACAGCCCATACGCAACAACACGGCCTGGACATTTTTACCTGCAGGCTTTGCAGGTCCCCAAATTTCATGTTTCCTTGTTAATTTTTTTGCAAAGATTTTCCACCACTCGGAGGCTGCATCCCTGAAAGCACAGCATCATCACCCAAGCCCGGCAGATCCAGGCATCTCACCAGCTGGGCTGACCTGCAGGACTGGCGTGCGGATGCCTGACACCATTCTTCACCTTGACTCCTGCAGATTTGCAACACTATGGCATTTTCAGGGTGAACAAGGCTCTAGAGCTCACCATTTTGCTTTAAGTAAGATTAACCTCCATCTTTACAGAACCTGGGTGTCTCCAAAGAGAAGCAGCAAATGGAGGAAAGGCGCCTTCCTTTCTCTCCTTAAAATCCCTCATGCTGAGAAATTGGCACCTGAAAAGGGCGAGGGAATCCCTCCCGTCCCCTCTCCTGCAGCCTCTGCTGTTGTGTGTACTTGGCAGTGGCCACTGCCAGCCCATCTGCCATGGCCGGGCAGCGAGGGGCTGACCCTGCCAGTGCTCCCACAGCTGCACAAGGCTACATGCACCGGTAAAAGCAGCTTGCGAGGCCCTGCAGCCAGAAGGAGAAATGCCCCTGGCCCCACAGGGGAATGTGGCCTGATCCCAGCTCAACCCCAGCACCCAGTGTGGTTGCAAGACACCCAGGCTGGCTCTGACATGAGCTGGACTTGGCTCTGCTCACCCAGAGCCATCGTCAACAACCTGCACGTCCTTGAAAAGGAACCAAGGCTGTTCAGATAAACTCAGTGCAGCAAAGATGAGAGATTTAGAGACGGGGAGTTTAAGGGACTTGCACTTTACTCAGCAACTCAATTACACCTTCCTTGGTGAGGAATAAAACCTCGCTGGCATTCTGATTCCAGACCTCGAAGACCGGGGGGTCCTCACAAACCCTCTTCCCAGCTATGACCACGTAGGGATAACCCAGCTTGTTGGCGTCCTTTAGCCTTTTGCCAATGGTCAGCTGTGTCCTGTCATCCAGCACTGAGTCGCCGGCGAGGTGGGGCAGCGCTTCGGCAAGGTCATCATACACCCGCTCCAGCAGCGTGGCTCCCTCCTCCTCCTCCTTGCTGCCTCTCTTGGGGGGAATGAAGCAGAGCTGGTAGGGCGCGATGAGGCTCGGCCAACGGATGCTGTCCTCTGTTGAGAGCACCTCGATGGAGGCCGCCAGGATACGAGTAACGCCCAGGCCGTAGCAGCCCATCTCTGCCAGCTGGGGTTTGTTCTCAGGGGAGTAGAAGACAGCGTTGGAGACAGAGGAGTACTTGGTGCCCAGATAAAAGGTGTGCCCCACCTCGATCCCTCTGGTCTGGGTGAGTTTTTCTCCGCAGGTGGGGCAAGACGTTTGCTCCCTGTTTAGCGTTTCCACATTGGCTGCAAAATGTCCGTCAGGGCACAGCACCAGCCTGTCCT